CGTATGTCTGTGTGTGACTGGTTGTGTGTATAAGCATCCGCTGGTACCATTTCTAACCTGTGTAGACTGAGTTAAATGACCTCAGAAGGCTATGTACAGTAACATGACTATCCATAAAAATTCATAATAGTTTGTGTGCTTGCACTGTGACTGCTGACATCTATCACTGTAAGAATAGGTCAGAGAAAGATCTCCTTTTTCTCCTCTCAGGCTGGTTACGATGGTGAGAGCATTGGAAACTGCCCATTTTCTCAGCGTCTCTTTATGATCCTCTGGCTAAAGGGTGTTATCTTCAATGTGACAACAGTGGACCTGAAAAGGTGAGATGAAGATTCTGTGTCATTGAAATAATTGGACATATGGTGGGCTGGAGAGATGGCTCAGAGGTTAAGAGTACTGACTGCTCTTCCAGAGGTCCTGAGTTCAATTCCCAGCCACCACATGGTGGATCACAACCATCTGTTATGAGATCTGGTGCCCTCTTCTGCTGTGCAGAATGTTGTATACATAATAAATAAAATCTTAAAAAAAGAAATAATTGGACATAATTCCCTCTACAAGCAACACACTCTTTCATGTATACAAGCATGTATACATACATATACAAACATGCACATATATGCTGCTAAGGACCATGAGCATATAATGAGGCTAATATAGGAGAGTTAACTCTCCCACCTCTGCAGCCAGAAAGGGGGTTGCAGAGGGTGAGCTCACCTATCATTTGTTAGTGTATTTCTTGGCTTTGATCTCCAGCAAGCCACTTTATTAATTCACGGACCACTTTCAAATTCTCGAGGGCTGTATCTCTTAAATGGTGAGGGCATGACTGAGCCTCGGCCATGACTCCAAATGCCAAGACTATCTACACAGATTGCTTTCCCCTCCTGTCCAGGAAGCCTGCGGACCTTCAGAATCTGGCTCCGGGGACGAACCCTCCTTTTATGACTTTTGACGGCGAAGTCAAGACGGACGTGAACAAGATTGAGGAGTTCTTAGAGGAGAAGTTAGTTCCCCCACGGTAGGCCTCCTAGAACTGATACAACTCTGCTTGTGCTTTTCTCGTTGGTCATGCACAGTACGCCAGAGGCAACAGCCGGATTAGACACCTTGAGTTAAGACGGACTCTGCTTCTGGTCTGATGTCATTCCTGTTGCTGTGATGGAAACACCCTGACAGAAGGCGACTGAGGGAGGACAAGGCCTATTTTCTCACAGTCCCGAGCGGCAGGCCATGATGGCGGGGTAGGGTGTCAGCCAGCCACATCACATTCACAGCCAAGAGCAGAGAAATGCATGCTGACACTGGCTGCTATCACCCCTGCTCCTTCCTAGGGAACGGTGCCTCTCACAGTGGACTGGATCTTCTTGTATCAATTAGCAATCAAATCGTAGCCACAGGCCAGTCTGATCTAGACAGTTCCTCAACTGAGGCTATTCTGTCACGTGATTCCAGATTGTGGCAAGCTGACACTTAAAGCCAACCATCACAGCTTCCCTTTGTATCTACAGCTTGGCCATCAGGACGGCATGGCAGGAGGCTGGGAGGAGGCGCTGTTGCTGTGTGGATAACTGTAGCTCGCGTCTGCTTCTGGGAGAGTGTGGACCCTTTGGGAAGCCAAACACCTTTACTAGACCAGGGAAGGAATTAGGTCAGGAACATCTGGTTGATCCTGTGTCCTAGGATTGGTCTTGCCAGGGCTCGATACAATGCAGTTCTCCCAAACCATGTGTTTTACTCATCTCTGAGACGCGTAGTTTACTAAAGCAGTGAGGGGAGCTTGTCATTTTAATGTCTGCCCAGAGGAAGACTTTCTCTTCCACTGCATTGTCCTTACCAGCCTTTGCTTTATTGTGACCCTCCAATTTTGAACTCTTCAAGGTACCCTAAGCTGGGAACACAACACCCGGAATCCAATTCAGCAGGAAATGATGTTTTTGCCAAATTCTCTGCATTTATTAAAAACACCAGGAAGGATGCAAACGAGAGTAAGTATTCCTGTTCTGGGCTCTGTTCCACACGGTCTTCCACATGGCTGCTGGAGAGACCCCGGGCGTCTGGCTGGTTTCACAGAGGGTATGGATGGGAGTCTGGAAATAAGGAAAATGCCCCCATCTTTAACTCTGCATATGACTTTGGAGAGACTGTTTCTAGAGTCTGGGAATTCAAAATGCAACACTATTATGGGGAAACATTTCAACCCCCAGCTGTTCCCACCGGCAGCACAGCAATTGTTTAAATGGTGCCCCTGTCACTCTCTACCTCATCATAGCTTCTCATAAATGTTTGGAAGAGTGGCCGGGTTTGGGCTGGAGGGATGGCTCTGGTGGAGGACTGGAGTTTGGTTCCCAGCCCCTACACTAGGCGACACATAACCACCCATAATTTCAGATCCAGGGCACCTGAAGACCTCTTCTGGCCTCTGAGAGCACTGCACACGTGGGATACATACACATGGGCACAGGCACACATAAATACAAAAATTTAGTTAAATATCTTTAAAAACCTGATGAGTCCTAGAAGCAGCACAGCCATGAGGACGGCACAGGGAGACTGAGTTCTGTCTGCCTCTGTGTCCTTCTGGTCCTCCTATTGTTGACCAGCCCTGTCTCAGAGAGAAAGTGTATCCTGATCTCTCTTTCTAAGGCAGAAAAAAAAAATGGCAGCCACTCACACGGCTTGTCTCAGGCATCTCTTGCGTTTGCGTTTCAGTTTATGAAAAGAACCTGCTCCGGGCCCTGAAGAAGCTAGACAGTTACTTAAACAGCCCTCTGCCGGATGAAATAGATGCCTACAGCACAGAGGACGTTGCTGTTTCCCGGAGGAAGTTCCTGGATGGGGATGAGCTCACACTGGCCGACTGTAACCTCTTACCCAAGCTCCACATCATTAAGGTTTGTCTCGGCTCCTGGCTTTGTGTTCTGTGCTGGATGCAAGGAGGAGGCTTTGCCGTCCTTTGCTCTCTAGATTTAGAGAGAGCAAAGGGCCAGGCACCGAAACAGGCCCGGAACACAGACTTGAATGGAAAACTAGCTGTTTCTGTGTACAGCTGAGCTGCGGTGTGTAGACACGTGGGACCATGAGCTCCAGGTGTTTACATGAAATGAAAACCAGCGAATGAGCTCCCTACCTCATATCCTCACTGGTATCCCCAGGGTCTCCTTGGTATTTAGCATATGTGGCTTGCAGACGATGCGTTGCTGACAGTCACAGGGATAAACTCTGTCCTAGGGTGTCCTGTCAATTATTAATATCAGCTCTCCTCCGATAGGAGCAGTTGATATAGTGACCTGGCTCAGCCTCTTCTGTAGCTGGTACCTTGTCTTCCCGGGTGGTTGAACGCAGTGGAAGATCCAATAGCTGTATACAACTAGACTTATTGGAGGGTGTTGTTTTTAAGTTTTTATTTTTTAAGTTTTAGTTCTTATTGGTCACCTGACCTAGTGAATCAGAACGTGTAGAGGCAACCCTCGGGATTCCCAGGCAGCCGGCCCCACACTTGGACTTCTGAGCCGCTTCTCTCTCTCTCCCCATCGCTGTCACTTACAGGTGTCACTTGCTATTATCATGGTCATCACTGCTTTGTGTGTGACCCTCAGATGTCCAAAGAAGAAGCCTGTGTCTTGCTTGCACTGGGGCATCTTGAGTTTTATTAAATTCTCAATAGGTTTAGAGCTGGAGTAGGAGTGTCAGGGTGGGGAGAGGTGGGAAACAGGGAAATACAAGTCAATGCCACGTTCTAAGTCTATATGTTCAATTGGCTGCTGAAATCACTGGTTCCAAGAGTCCACGGTGGGTTACCTCGACTTTCTCTTCCTGAGCACTTTCTTCTTCCTGCTCTCTCCTCCTCAGCCTTCATCTTTCCCCTTCCCTTTTCCGTGTTGTGCTTCCCGGAGATCTGTTTGAGGTAGACACTAGCGATTCTTCGAGTGAATGCCTTGTTCAGCTCCCAACATCCAAAGTCTAACAAAGGCTTCTCAACTCTCCAAACACCTAAATCTAGAGCCATTTTCCAGTGAGACATTTACACCACCGTGCTTTTGGGTAGTCCCTCTCGGGGATGGAATTTCAGTCTGAGCTGTGAATGATCCAGCATCACACAGGTAGGCACAGGATGAAGAAGGGATTATAGTTGTTCTGACAAAATGCTTGAGAGAATCAGTGTGATAGAGAAAGGTCTGTGGTTTCAGAGGTCTAGTCACACCCAGCTGGCTCTGTTGATGTTAGGCGTGGTAAATGACACAGCACCGGCAAGCAGCTCACTCTGAGGAGGCCAGAGAGCAAGAGAGGGAGCACTGCAGAGAGCACAAAAGGGAGGACTGCAGGGAGACAAGACCCTTCCCAGACTCTCAGTGACCTAGGCTCTACTTCCTGCTACCCAATCAGCTATAATTAACCAGTTGGTGACGCCAGCACTACCAGCTGGGGACCAAACCTTCCTTGTAAAAGTGTGGAATATCCAAACCACAATGAAGAACCTGGGGCTTATCACAGCCACCCAGCACTAACCACAATGTAAAGTATTCATACAAAAAAGAACCTGGCTCTGTGCTTGAAAGCACTTGCTGCTCTTGCGGAGGACCTGAGTTTGGTTCCCAGCATCCACATTGGATAGCCCAAACCACCTGCAACTCCAGCTCCAGGGGAATCCACACACACACACACACACACACACACACACACACACACACACGTAAAAGTGGAAAGGGTTAGCTGCAGGGATGGGGGGGGGCGTCCCGGGCCTAAAGCAGTCATGGTGCTAATATAAGACTTAGAAACAAAATCTTCAAGCCATTTAGCACTTACAATGCTAACTATTTAATGATCTTCCAGAACAGAGCACTTCTGAAGGAAATGAGAACCAGTCCAAGGGAATTATGGTAAAACCCAAGAGTGGAGAGATTTATAATTTATTTCCCTTCCTGAAACCCACTGAAAATGACATTAAAAATAGAGTATTAGCTTCATCTTTCACAGAACTACAAAAGAATGACAGGTCACCCACAAATGAAAAGAAATTTAAGAGATGGGGCTTTCTAGATATATATTTTTTTCTTTTACACCTTAAGAAAATTGTCCTTGATGTTCAATTTGAGTCCATTCTTTTTTTTCAAGACAGGGTTTCTCTGTGCAGTCCTGTCCTGGAACTCGCTCTTGTAGACCAGGCTGGCCTCAAACTCACAGAGATCTCCCTGCCTCTGCCTCCCGAGTGCTGGGATTAAAGGCATGAGCCACCACCGCCCAGCCAGGGTTCTTCAGGAGTAGATAATTGGGTTCTGAAATACCGAGATTTTTGCTTAGAGGGTGGAGTGCATTGGCAGTGAGGGAAAGATTACAGAGCACACCTGGGCTATGTCTCTAAAGAGACAGAGTTGAAGGAGGGTTATGCAGAGACACCTTTACAGCCTGTGCCCAGCCACTCACCCACTGGGGCACCCTGGAGGGAGATGCAATGGCAGCAGAGAAGGGATCTGACTTTAAGTTTTGTGGCTGCTGAACAGAGCAAAGAAGAGTTCCTTAATTCTAAGGCTAACTAATGAGTGCTCTGATGCTAACCTCTAACTCCAGCTCTAATGTGTCCCTGGGGCAGAGTAGAGGTCAGTGGTTCCCAGGTGACGCTTGCTTGTGAAGACTGAGTTTGCTCTCCAGTGGCCCTGGCCCACCCTCTTATTGCCCCACATAATTTCTAAGCAAATGGTAGCTCCAACATGTCTGCCTTACTAAACCATGACTAGCAACAAGAAAGAATCCACACTATAGCCAGAGATGATCAAAGTGGAGAAAAGCGATGAGTCTGGACCTGAAAACAAATCACCTAAAATCAAATGGGAATCAAGAGGGAAGGGGAAAAAGAAGGAGGGGGAGGACAGAGAGGAGGGAGAGAAGAGGGAGTGAGGGAGAGGAGAGGAGAGAGGGAGGGAGGGAGAGGGAGGGAGAGAAGAGAGAGGAAGGGTGAGGGAGGGAGAGTAGAGGAGAGGGAGGGGGAGGAGAGGGAGGGAGAGGAGGACCAAGAACACCATGACTTTAATTAAGGGAGTGCACCTCTGCTTTATGCAAAGACTGCCTGAGCTGCCTGCAGGGGTGAAGCCCAGGGGCCTGCTTATGTAGACAGCTATCGACCACCCAGCCGCGTCTCCAGCCCTTGGAATTTTGAGCCAGGGTCTCCCTGTGTGGTTCAGCTGCTCTCAGCCTCACTCTTCTCCAGTCTCAACATGAATCCTGGAGCTCCATGCATGCTCCATCACACATGACTGCCTTATTTTTATATCAGTACTATAATTATTGTCTGCTGAGGCTCATACATTGTTAGCCATGCTCTGCTTCCAAGGCCATGCCATGTAGAGGAAACATTCCCGGAACACACTGAGACTTCACTGAGATTCTGCGGTAGGGGAGGAGCCTTTAAGAACTGCATCTGTCCCTTTCATTATCATAACAAGATGCTTGAGGGAGGGATATGCAGGAAAGCTCATTTGTCTCACAGGTTTAGATGTTCAAGACCACGAGTCAGCTCTGGTGGGGACCTTATGGCATCCCAGTGTAAGTGTGCGTGGGGAGGTGACCATAGGTGAGACAGGGAGTGACCATAGGTGAGGCAGGGAGAGACCACAGCTAAGACAGGAAGTGACCATAGATGAGACAGGAAGAGACCACAGCTAAGACAGGAAGTGACCATAGGTGAGACAGGAAGCATCCAGATTTGCTTTTGTATAGCAGACTTCCCCACAGAATTAATCCGAGTGCCATGAGAATTACTTCAGTCTCTCCTGAGTGCATTGCTGAACGATGTCCTCCTCTAAAGCCCTTCTTGAAGGTCCCAACACACATTGTCCCACTGAGACCCAAGCTTCCAACATATGACCCTTTAAGGGTTGCACTCAAACCACATCAGTCAGTAATGCTCAACCACAGCGATGATGACAACACAGATAGACAACAGAACAACCTACGGGGGAGGGGAGGAAATTCACAATGGCCTCAAGTATCTCCATGACATCAAAAATCAGTGAACAGTGGCATTGCCTCTAGAGAGGAAAGGGAAGGCTGTCTGGTGTTTTATGAAAGAGTTTTATATCCTCGGTTATTATTCACCCAGACACTGGCCTCAGCAAAATAAGCACTCCTGAGCAGTGAAATTGCTATCTGATGAAATACTAAAACGATCACGAAAATAGGAATCTGAGGCAGACAAGGCATGTGTTGGAAAAGGCTGTTAAGATCAGGCGCTATCTTGACCTAACTTAGAGCACAGATTTGCTCAAAAGACATTGGCTTGCTCACGGACTATCAGAAGAGTGAGAGACCTGGGCTAGGGCCACCTAACTACCCAGTCCCAACACACACAGCTCTGCCATTTACCTGTTTGGCTTCTCTGTCCTTAATCGTTTGGTGAACACATGCCTCAAGGGCTTAGAGAGAGGAAGTAATATAATTGTGTTTTAATTGAAAATAAAATAAATTTATAAAACGAATCTACAGCTGGAAATTCAATAGGCAGGGGCAAGTCCTTCCCATGAGCTGCTTCGCTTGGAGTTGCAACCCTTTCAATGGGGAACCCCAGCTGATGTTAGCACAGAGACCAAACAGCTGCCATGGGGACAGAGTAAAGTCAGGATGTGGTAAACTTGGATGTCGTCACAGTCATGAGGTGGTGGGAGGGATGGGGCAAAGAGGAAGAGCTGGAAAGAAGTGGAGATGCAAACATTCCCTCCTCTGACATCACCAGGAGTCAAACTTGATAGACGATATTGGTGGCCTCTCATAAGGAGTGAATCCTCAGCCTCTGGGTTACCGAAAGGGAACGTATTGTGAATGCGCACATACAGGCAGGAAACAAAGTGTTACATTGTTGTGCCTGACTCTGAACCCCACAAACCACCAAGAGACCAGATCCGATGCAAAAGTAAAGAGTTTTTAATTTACAAGTTAACTCGGGTCCTCCATCGGTCCGACACAGCGGGTCAAGCAGGAGGGACCCCAAGCAGCAATGGGGCAGGGCTATATTGGGGGTAGACCAAGGTGGGTGTCTGGGGAATCTGCAAGTTCCATAGTAACAGTGTCAGGATTGGCACAACTCCGGGATGGGGGAACCTGTCCTGAGTTGATTGGTCAGCTGCAGCTGAAGGAAGGTTGCTATGCCTGGAGGCCGTCCGAGGGCCATTGCTACCTCCTGTATTCCACTGTTATCAGAAAAGCACTTCCAAAGCCCACCAGCTAACTTCTGTTTGGTTTCTTACCACATGGAGAGTAACTGGCACTTTCTTCCCAGTAATTAGGAGAAGGTGGGGCAAGGTCAGAGGGGCTCAGCACACCCTGCTGAGTGAGAGGCCTAAGTCTTGCTTGGTCTTTTCCTCAGCCTGTCATGGCTGACAAAGCAGGGGTTGTGTGAGGGTCTGGACCCTTCAGTGTTCCATGAGGGTGGGGAGATAGCTCAAGCATCAGGACCTGAGTTTGATCCCCTAGAACACACGTGACACCAGACCAATGCCAGGCATGTAGCACAGACAATTTCATACGAAGTAACTATAGCAATTATTTTACTCTCAGTTCTCCTTATAAGCGGCTCTTTCTCACTACAAACCCTTATCATTACACAAGAACCCATATGATTACTCTTTGCACCTTGACCACTAGCCATAATATGATTCATTTCTACCCTAGCCCAAACAAACCGTGCTCCATTCCATCTTACTGAAGGAGAATCTGAGTTAGTCTCAGGATTTAATGTAGACTCAACAGGAGATCTTGTCTCACCTGTCCATTTGCATTATTTTTCATAGCTGAATATACTAATATTATCCTAATAAATGCCCTATCAACTATTGTTTTTCTAGGACCATATCACAATCCCATAAATCCAGAAATATTTACTACTAACTTCATACTAGAGACACTAATCCTCACCTCCCTATTTTTATGAATCCGAGCATCTTACCCACGATTCCGATATGACCAACTCATACATCTACTATGAAAAAATTTCCTTCCACTAACTTTAGCCCTATGTGTATGATATATTTCTATACCAATCTTTATAGCAAGTATTCCACCATACACCTAGAAATATGTCTGACAAAAGAGTTACTTTGATAGAGTAAATTATAGAGGTTTAAACCCTTTTATTTCTAGAGCAATAGGAGTTGAACCTTCATCTCAGAATTCAAAATTCTACATACTACTTGTAACCTCAGCATGGGGAGGCAGCGACAGGAGAATCATGGGCTCACTGGCCAGACACTTTAGTCACGTCTTCAAGTTCCAGGCTCAACAGGAGATCTTGTCTCACAGATGAGGTAGAGGACGTGGGGGGTGGGTTGGGGTGATGGTTCAGCCGATGACACTTGTGCTCCCGGCAGAGGCCTTCAGTATGGTTCCTACAGCTGGCAACTACCTGTGACTCCAGCAGCAGGGACTGGAACACCCTCTTCTGGCCTCTAGGGGCATCTGCATATATGTGCACACACACAGACATATGTCTTTAAAGCAATAAGGGGGGACAGGAGGGATGTTTCAGAGGTTAAGAGCTCTTGCTGCTCTTCCAGAGGGCCTGAGTTCAGCACCCATGTCAGGCAGCTCACAGCTGCCTGTGACTCTAGTCCATGGGAGCCAACAGCCTCTTATGGCCGTCACAGGCACCTGGACTCACATGCACAGCCCTCCCACACACATATAATTTTAGAAAGTAAATCTGAAATAAACTTAAAGTGTAGTTAGCAATCAAGAAAGTCACCGAGTGTCAATCTGACCGCCACACTGTGTGGACACACTTGCATGTCATCATATGTAGCTACACAGGCTCATGGAGATGTGTACACAGAAAGAGAAATTTCAAAAGCAAGAGGATATGTACGTTTACCGCATATCCTCATTAGTGTTAAATATCCGGGGCTGATGACGCAGCCTGCAGCACCAGCTGCCCGTGAGGCTGAGGGAAGTAGATTGCAAGCTCCCCTCTGCCTGGGTTACAGAGGGAGTCCAAGGCCTGCCTGGGAGGGTTAATAAGACCCCATCTCCAGATAAAAAGTGAACAGGGAGCTGGGCTCAGTGGAGGAGCACTTGCTAAGCTTGCATGAGACTCTAGCTTAAGACTTTTCAAAAAGGTCAAAAGCGAAGCAGGTGAGCGTCAACCAAAGGAATAAGAACTCTTGACCTGAGCATCCTGAAGTCTGTGTTCGGGAAAGAGTGCCACACCACGCTGGAGGCTTTCCACATGTCCCTTGGTCCTAATTTGCTGCCGCACTGCGCCAATGGCTGCTGGCTTCACAGTCTGATAAGTGAATACTAAGATCTGATTTGTGCTGTGTCTCCTGTTTTCATTCTACCATCCCAGGAGGAGGAGGGAGGGCGGTGACACAGTGGAAATGGCCACTGTAGCCTGGATCCCTGTGGCAGATGGAATTGTGCTTCTCCCTCCCCCGGCGAGCGTGTCACCAGTCCTTGTCACTACTACCCCGGGATGGGGTTCATTTGACATGTGGGTCTTTGCAGACACACTGTTATGCTGAAGGTGCAGTAGAGAAGACTGGACTCGACTCCAATATGACTTGCTGCTGTCCTTGCTAAAAGGGGGTTTAAGACAGAGGCACCCAAACACAGCTAGAAGACATGCAAAGACTTGAGCTGTCCTTTCCCAGACAAGAACTGCAGGGAGCTAGGAGGGCCCGAGACAGATTCTCACTGGGGACCTTCAGTGGAAGCAGAGTCCTGATGAGGTCTTGACTTTAGATTCCTGGCTTCTGGGACTATGACAGAATATTTCTAGTTCTCGGTTCTTCAGGTGTGGGGCACTAGCAAAGTCATACGTCCCTCGACACTGGACACTGTCCTTAGCATTGTCCCCATCTGGCCTGCTCCTGACAGGGAAGCCTCTCACACTGCTGCGTTTCTCAGAACACCCACCCCGTTGTTATTTTCTGGCTTCCGCTGTCTCCATGATGATGAGGTCATGCTGTTTTGTTCATGCATTGACCTTTGCACATGGGAGACTCGTGGTTGAGCAATCTGCTCAGGGCGGAGTGATGGACTTCTGCAGAAATACCACACACAGATGTTAGGATTGCTGGAGATGAGACTGGGCGTCTAGGGGGAAGACACAGCTGATTCAAAGATCCTGATGGAGTCTAAGATGAAGATTGGTCAGGCGCCTTCGCACATCATGTAACACAGTAGCTGACACCTGACAGCGGCATTGCCACAGACACAGGGAGGAAGCCACTGACATGCACTCATGCATGGTGGATCCCAAGGATCATTTTTGGTAACTTGGTGGGCAGGACTGCAGGGATCTTAGATTAGTCGTTACTATTATTGTTGTTGTTGTTATTTGCTTCGACATATTACAAAAAAAGAAACTTAAAGGAGAAAGGTTTGTTTGGGCTCACAGTAAAGCCATCACTGCGGGGAAGGCCTGGAGCCTGGAAAGGTGAGGCAGATGGTCACATTGTATCAGCAGTTAGGACACACAGGTGGTGGGTGTTGATGCTCAGCTCCCTATACCCCTTTAATTCAACCCGCCCCAGCACATGGAATCATGTCTTCTACAGCTAGGGTGGATCTTTCTACCTCAACTGACTCAGTCTAGAAACTCCCTCACAGGCAGATCAGAGGTTAGTGTCCTAGGTGAGTCTAGATACTGTCACAGAATGAGTGCATTTGGTTCCTGTACCTCTGTCACCTTTCCTGTTCCCAAGGTGCCCTAGCAATGTTATAGTGCCACCAGGGGCATCCCAGATGGCCATAGGATGACATCAGGAGCTAGGCTACGCATCTCCAAGGGATGGATTGTCTGATTTGAATCACGTGAGTGCCTTTCCCCTTCCCTCATCATTTCCTCTTGATTTTCAGATTGTGGCCAAGAAGTACAGAGGTTTTGAGTTTCCTTCTGAAATGACTGGCATTTGGAGGTACTTGAACAATGCCTATGCCCGGGATGAGTTCACTAACACATGTCCAGCTGACCGGGAGATTGAACACGCATACTCAGATGCGGCAAAAAGGATGAAGTGATGCTGGCTTGCTTCCTGTCTTTTTCTCAGACGAGTGAGCAAGGCTTCCAGGAGAGCCTTCTGTGCATTTCCCCAGAAGCAGCGTTTGCACAGTATCTCTGACTCTCTCAATGCCACCACAGGGTGTGTGGCCTTCAATTTGTCCACTCATTCCTACATCTCACCTATGCTAATCTATGTCTTGGAGATTCACTACTCTTGTAATCCATGTTTAGGGCAGCAGTGTTTCGTGCTTTGTTTCAAAGTGCACTGGCTTTGACTTCCATCCCCTCTATTTTAAAGAAGTTAGAATTTCTTTGATAGTTTTGATAATCACATATAAAGCATGCTTTTCTCTTCTTAAATATTAGTGTAAAATGAAACACTGTTTTATACTTTAGAGCACTATTAGATGGCATGAAGAAGAAAGTAAAAATCACCTAAAACTTACTCTTTGTAACTTTTGATAACAAATTGGTGAATCTTTCTAGAATCTTCAACCTTTCATGTATGCCTGTTCACACATCACGCATAATTTCCTTCATACATGGTGTGGCATTTGTAAGAGGCTGATGAGGGGAGCTCTTGGTGCCTCTGTGGTCATCACAGAAAACTTAAGACAAAGGATTTGTCCCCATGAGTCACATAGGGACTGTAGGTCCCCCTGCAGTGCCAAGGGACAGCAGGGACTAGGGTGATGGGACCAGGGTGTCCTCTTCTGCCTCGAGGATGCTGTCGCCTCTGAGTCCAGGAAAGATGTGGAGAGCATGCCCCTGTGCCTTTGGTTGTAGCTTCCTTCCTGATACCTTCTCTTCTCTCTCCTCTAGAGGGACCGTGCCTTCACGGGGACTCTTTCTGTCAGCAGCAGCCTTATGTCATGTGAGCCTTTGATTTCTGCTCATGGCAGTTCTTCAATGAGGAGGATGTGGCTGAGGCTAGCTCATTCGTGTCTACTTTCTTTCTCATTCTGAGGCCAAGCAGGGCAACTAAATTCCAGAATAAAACTCAGAAAGTCCTACTCTTAACCACTCCTACTCTTTAATGAGGAGTTCAGGAGTGTCTGGTCTACTGTGGCATTCCCTCCATCATCCCTGGGGCCACCCAGCATCATAGCTGGGCCCAATGGGTAGCTGCTGGGGTCCAGCCGGGTCATAGACGAGGAAATATGAGGTTGCTTAGATGCTCCACCAGGCATCTCAGATAGTGTCTCCACAGTCACACATCTCCCAAGAAACGTCTCTTGTAGACTTGGCTGAGGAGCACGGCGGGTGCTGGAACCCTCATGCGTAGTCAGCTCAGTGGGCAATTTGTTTAGATGAGAGTAAGATTCACTCAAGCAGTAAGATCCTAAGATTGGGTGAAGAATGTCTGGTAAGGACACAAAGTCCAACACGGAGGCCGCTTCATCTCCTTGTTTCTTAGAAGCTCTGGCTTCAGCCCCGGTAGTCAGTTTCTTTTTCACTTGAAGGAAGAAGGTTTTCAGGGTCATGAACAGCCCCTGTCACCATGGTCCACATTATTTCACATCTCTTTAGGAGTCAGCTTTGTAAACCCACTTTTACAATGTGACATTCACACTTGGTAAATGAGTAGATGACAGGGTGTTAGTCCTGTTAATTTTGTTCTTTTAGATAGTAAGATGATCACCAACTGTGTGCCTTACAAATTAAACATTTTAAATCAGCTTTATTGTTTTCCTTTAGTTTCTTTGTGTGTGTGTGTGTGTGTGTGTGTGTGTGTGTGTGTGTTGTGCCTGCATGTGTGCCTTTGTGTTTGGATGTGTATCGGTGCTGTGCATGTGTGGTGACTGCATGGGAGGCATGGCAGAGCTCTTATTCTTTGGGGCAGAGTCTCTCCATCAAACCCAAAGCTCTATGTGGCCTGTCTCACTAGACAACTTGCTTTAGGGATCCCTCTCCACCTCTGAGGCTGGACTTACAAGGCGAGCCACCATGCCCACATGACATTTGCCTGTATTCGAGGGAGCTGAACCCAGTGTAGCAGGCAATTCAACTGCTGAACCATTCCCCAGTCCCAGTAAAGACTCAAGTGAAACCAACCTCTCTCCCTCTCTCCCTCTCTCCCTCTCTCTTTCTCTCCCTCTCTGCCTTTTCCATTTTGACTTAAAGGAATAAAATGAAGTTCCTTTAAAAAAGGTGTGATCAAATTTGGACCAGAGGTGGCTGGTCTGAGGTGATCCATATGTGAGCTATGAACCACAGACGTGTCAGTGGCGCCTCAAGAGGCCTGAGCAGGTGTCCAGGTGACAGACACAGACTCTAGGTCATTCCATTTATACTGGTAGCTATGAGAAGGTGGCTCCTTGGGGCAGTCACCCTCAGTCCTGGTCCTTGTTGCAGG